CCCTTCCCATTCCCCTTCCCATTCCCCTTCCCATTCCCCTTCCCATTCCCCTTCCCATTCCTTTCCCGTTCCCATTCCCGTTCCCCATTCCCGTTCCCCTTCCCATTCCCGTTCCCCTTCCCATTCCCGTTTCCCCCTTCCCGTTCCCATTCCCGTTCCCCATTCCCATTGTGCTGAATTCCCGTTGCCGTTGGCATTCCAGCCGTGGATAACGGGTGCGTGGCCTACGCCCTCCGGACGGGATTCAACACCTCCCAGGTGAGATCCCACAGGCCTTCCACAATTCCCACAGGAAAGGTGGGAAGAGGGAGGAAAACGTTGGGAAGAGGAAGGAGGAAAGTTAGGAAGAGGAAGGAAGGAGGAAAGTTGGGAAGAGGAAGGAAACGGTTGGGAAGAGGAAGGAGGAAAGTTGGGAAGAGGAAGGAAGAAAGTTGGGAAGAGGAAGGAGGATGGGAAGAGGAAGAAGAAGGTTGGGAATGGGAATAAAGTTGGGAAGAGGAAGGAATGAGGTTTGGGAATGGGAATAAAGGTGGGAAGAGGAAGGAAGAAAGTTGGGAATGGGAATAAAAGGTGGGAAGAAGAATAAAACTGGGAAAGAGGAAGGAGGGAAGTTGTGGAACTCCCGATCGCTGTCGATCCCTTCAAAACCCTTTCCTTGGGATTCCTTGGAATTCCTGTGGGATTCCTGTGGGATTCCTGATCCCTGGTGATCCCCAGGGGAAGCTGCTGCAGGTGCATCAACCCCCAGTCCCTTCCTACCCTTCCCACCCTTCCCATTCCCGTAAAATTCTCTGGAATTCCTTCGGGATCGCCCGATCCCTCCGAGCCCTTTCCTTGGGATTCCTTGGAATTCCTGTGGGATTCCTGTGGGATTCCTGATCCCTGGTGATTCCCAGGGGAAGCTGCTGCAGATGCATCAACCCCCAAGCCCTTCCCACCCTTCCCATTCCCGTGAAATTCTCCGGAATTCCTTCGGGATCGCCCAATCCCTCCGAGCCCTTTCCTTGGGATTCCTTGGAATTCCGGTGGGATTCCCGTGGGATTCCTGGTCCCTGGTGATCCCCAGGGGAAGCTGCTGCAGGTGCATCAACCCCCAATCCCTTCCCACCCTTCCCATTCCCGTGAAATTCTCTGGAATTCCTTCGGGATCGCCCGATCCCTCCGAGCCCTTTCCGAGGGATTCCTTGGAATTCCTGTGGGATTCCGTTGGTATTCCTGTGGGATTCCTGGTCCCTGGTGATTCCCAGGGGAAGCTGCTGCAGATGCATCAACCCCCAATCCCTTCAAGTCCTTCCCATTCCCGTGAAATTCTCTGGAATTCCTTCGGGATCGCCCGATCCCTCCGAGCCCTTTCCTTGGGATTCCTTGGAATTCCTGTGGGATTCCCGTGGGATTCCTGTGGGATTCCTGATCCCTGGTGATTCCCAGGGGAAGCAGATGCAGATGCATCAACCCCCAGTCCCTTCAAGCCCTTCCAACCCTTCCCATTCCTGTGAAATTCTCTGGAATTCCTTCGGGATCGCCCGATCCCTCCGAGCCCTTTCCGAGGGATTCCTTGGAATTCCTGTGGGATTCCGTTGGTATTCCTGTGGGATTCCTGATCCCTGGTGATCCCCAGGGGAAGCTGCTGCGGACGATCCTGTTCGGGGTGCAGCGGGTGACGGCCAACAACCTGGAGACCTTCATCTTCATCCTCTTCCTCCTCGTCTTCGCCGTCGCCGCCGCCGCCTACGTCTGGATCCAGGGTGGGCATGGGCCGGGAATGGGGCGGGAATGGGGTGGGAATGAACCGGGAGTGTCCTGGGAATGGGGTGGGAATGAGCTGGGAATGGGGTGGGAATGAACCAGGAGTGTCCTGGGAATGGGGTGGGAATGAGCCAGGAGAGCCCTGGGAATGGGGTGGGAATGGGGTGGGAGTGCCCTGGGAATGGG